GATTGGCAAAACACTAGATGAAGGACAACCATGCAAGCAAGCCGGCTTACACAAAGAATTCAGCACGATCGACCATATCCACACGATAACCAAGCTCATTGAAGTTTCTCGGGAGTTCAAGATGCCGCTCTGTCTAACGTTCATTGACTTAAAGATTCTGTTGAGACTGAAGCAGTCATTGAAGCCCTAGCCAATCAGGGCGTTTAAACTCAATACATCAGGATTCTCTGTGAGCTCTATTATGTATTCACTACCAGGATCTCACCATTCTACAAAGAAGTGATCATCGATGCCAAGAGAGAGGTTCGGCAGGGTGATACTATTTTACCAAAACTCTTCAGTGCCACCCTCGAGAACGTAATGCGATGACTGAAATGGGAAGGAATGGGAGTGAAGATAGGTGGTCAGCAACTACACCACCTCCGCTTTGCTGATGACATCGTTCTAATAACACCAAACAGTAGCCAAGCAGCACAAATGCTGGCCGACTTCAACCATGCATGTGGAAAGGTCGGATTAAAGCTGAATTTCACAAAGACAATGATCATGAGAAACAGTCTTGTTCCTGATGTTCCATTCGCTCTCAATGGAACGACCATCTCCGAATGCAACAGTTATGTGTACCTAGGTCGAGAGGGCAACATGACGAATGACCTGGCACCTGAGTTGCGCAGAAGGAAGAGAGCAGCTTGGAACACCTTTAAGAGCATGGAAGAAATAGCTAAGAGGACGAACAACCTCGAGCTCCGGGCACATCTCTTCGATTCCACTGTTCTTCCTGCAGTAACATACGCCTCAGAGACCTGGGCCCTACGAAAACAGGATGAGAACGCTATTTGGGTCTCTCAAAGAGGAATCAAAAGAGCTATGCTTGGAATATCATGCTTCACTCAAATGAGAGAAAGAATGCGAAGTTCCGACCTCCGTCAAGGCTCACGAATCAGGGACACTGTCTCGTTTGCCAAGGCATCAAAAATCATATGGGCTGAACACGTAATGAGATTTAGAGACGACTGCTGGACTAGAGCCATTACTGACTGGATTCCCCAGGACGTCAAAAGATCGTGTGATCGCCCACCTATGAGATGGTCAGACTTCTTCGTCAAGACCCTGAATGATCTGTTTGAGGCTCGTCATGTTCCTAGAACGAGCAGACGCCACTGGGCTACACTATCACGCGACAGGGATGAATGGAGATGTTACTGGCACCCACTCGAGCAAATCAATGAGTAACAGGATATCAAGTGATCAAGTGATATTTTCCAGATGCATAAAACAAAGTAACTATCAGGTAATTTTTTTTATTGTTACTTAAAATCTCTATGGAAATGTTTCCCAAAATGTTGGAAGTATGAGTTCTGGAGTGAGCCTGTTCTATTCTAATTCCTATTTCTTCACCACCTAGCTTTATGTTATTAGGCAAGCTGCAACCTTTCTGTCTCAACTCTATCATCAGTAAAAGAGACTACTAACTACATATCGGGTTGCTGTTGAATCAAATGGGGGAGTGCATTAAACATTTATCATGCAGTGAGCATGCAAGAAATACTAGTAATTAATACCTTTACCATCTTATAATTAGTTCCTGGACACTGGATCCATCATCATTAGCTTTCTTGATTGCAGGAGAACTAACAGCCGGCACCCTTAGGCCTATTAAGAACTTCACAGTCACTAGCTTCTTCACTAATTGGGCCCAAACTGTAGTTTCTTTTGAGTCTTAGATGGGTGTTGAGTATGTATGCATCATCTCTTGCTTTCAGAGCAATCAGATGTAACATTTTGAACTCATTTAGAAAACTAACCATTTCCTTCCCTTCACTGATAGATCAAATGTATTAAGATTTCCTCTAAAGCAGGATTGTATAATTAAACACCCAAGTCTGTGCTTCAGTGTCAGCACTAATAGTTGTCTATTTTAACCACTTTGGTACATCTACGCAATGGAATACTATGCAGCTGTTAGGAAAGATGAAGTCATGAACTTTGCTTATAAGTGGATGCTCATGCTAAGTGAAATGAGTCAGAAAGAGAGGGACAGACATAGAAGGACTGCACTCATTTGTGGAATATAAAATATAATATGACACTGACACCCAAGGATAGTAGAGACAAGGGCCAGGAAGATTGCTCCATGATTGGAACCCTGCCTTATGAGCTGGGATAGAAAGCAGCTGGGATAGAGAAGGGATCACTAAGTCAATGATGGTTGGATGAATTGCTTGGGATGGGAGATGTGTGCTAAAAGTAGATAAAGGACCAAACATGATGGCCTCTGTCTCTGTATTGCAAACCATAATGCCCATAAGTAGAGAAAGAGTAAGAGGGAAATTGTCTGCAATAGAGGCAGGGGGAGGGGGTGGGACGGGGTGGCCGGGAGGGATACTGAAGACATTGGTGGTGGAAAATATACACTGGTGAAGGGACAGGTGTTCAATTATTGTATGACTGAAACTCGAACATGAAAGTTTTGTAACTGTAGCTCACAGTGATTCAATTAAATAAATAAATAGTCATTTTCTGCTGACTTCAAGATCATTGACTATGAGAAGACATGAACTGTATAGTTTTACTTCTATGTTAAAACTAATGTAGTCAAAAATAGAGAACAGAAAATAGGTCAGTGATTGCTAAGAATTTCAGGGAGGGGGAAATTGGAAGAGATTGTTTCATGGGTACAAACGCTACGTGCTATAAGCCAAAATTTTTCTATCCAAACTCCAGATCATATCGATTTTATTTCCTGATTTGTGTGTGATTTTTATTTCAATTATTTTAAATATGACTTTTTAAATTTAGTCACCATGATTTACAAAGTTATTTACAGTTGAGTTTTGGGTATCTCATTTTCCAGTACCTGTCCCATTATCAGTGTCAACTTCTCTCACCCAGTGTCCCCATTTTCCCTCAGCACCCCCTAGCCTGCCTCCTTGGCAGGCACATTTTTTAATTTGTTTATTGTGGTTTGAATCTCATGCTTTCAGTTTTGTTAGTTCTATAGTTCAGATATATAGTTAAATCTGTGTGGCATTTTTAAACAAGCAAATATTTATGGGCCTGAGTACTTCACGTTAAAAACACTCAGTGAGAGAAATCCATTCTGTCACTTGTAGACATATGTGAATGGCATCCCCTGAAGTTGTGCAGAAACGGTGTCCTGAGTCAGGTTGCCTTTGTAACTGGTTTGAACAATTTGATTTTTAAAGAAAAATTTTAATGTATCAATGGCTCAATCATCTCAGTGGCCACAGTAAGCTATATTTCCCTTCTGATCTTTCTGACTGTGATGCTTTATATAGTAATATTCATCCTGGGTTGAAGCTAGTTTTGGGCATACAAAGAATTTCAAATTATTTATATTGGTATCCTCAAGTAAGGAGGTAAAACATCTCACCACATATTTTTATGAGTATAAATGTATATATTTATGAGTAAACGACTACATATTTTAGGAGTAAAATGTTACCACACACATCCACTAAAGTGCCAGTATCATTCCACTACTATCCATAGGATGTTCTCTTTCATGCCTTAAAATATTTTTTTCTACAGGATATAGCCTTTATGCCTTTTTTCATATTCCAGTATTACTAACCTGATTCTACAAGGTAAAATAAATCCCGGTCTTCAGTTGATGTTCCCTTTTTGATTCACCAGTAGCATAGTTCTACATTTTAAATCTTTCTAATGTAGGTTTTCAGTTTTCAGAGTTTAAAACATTACATTGCTCTTATTTTGGTTCTCACTCTTGTCCCTTTTTCTAGTCAAGCCTCTCTTGGAACATGCATGCACAGAGACATTCACATGCATTCACGCCATGGCTTTCCCCAGTTTTCTTTTTCTTCTTTTTTTTTTTGTTGGACATTAGACTTCCATCGTTATATATTTATTTTTAATTTTTTCATTTTATTTAATCACTGTGAGATATAGTTTTCAAACAAGCTTTCATGTTTGAGTTACAATCACACAATGATTAAACACCCATCCCTCCACCAGTGCACATTACCCACCACCAATATTCCCAGCATACCCCCCTTTCCCACCCTCCCACTACCCCCATGGCAGACAATATTCCCCATTCTCTCTCTCTACCTTCCCCAGTTTTCTAAACACATTTTGTTTTCTTTTGCCCTGAGACTGTATTTACACGTGCTGCTTCTCCTCTTTGGAGAGCCCTAGCTCTGTTTCCTTGACTGGCAAATCCTTTACAATAACTAGGAACTCATGTGAAATGACCCATCACCTCCCTCTATCCCAGTAGAATGGGTTCGACCCTCCCATGTGTTCTAATGGTCCCTCCTGTTTTACCCATTGTCAACCCATAGACTCATGACATGCTAGCGGTCATGCTGAACTGGAAACTCTGTAAGGACATAGCTCATGATGCTCCTTTGTTTGCCACATAGCGGGTACTTAATAAATGGTGACTGATTTTCATGAATATCATTGCCCCTCTAATTTGGAAAAAATGCCACTATGCTTGAATGCTTGAAACCAATTTAGCATTTTATGACCCACTAATTTTGAAGTTCAATGTGTCTCTACTAAATAATTGAAAATGTAAGCATCAAGAACACTAAGTGAAAGGATCTTTGTGGTCAAGTGAAGAGAGGAATTTGGTTGGGGAGGGAGGTGTCATGGTTTTGCTGTTGGGGTCTTGTTGCAGTTGCCAGAAGTCTGTTTCCCCAAATGAGAAGCCTTCCTCAGGTGAGTATTGACATGATGATTCAGTAGCACCTAGCTTTCTACTCTGTGGCTTAAAGAATTAAATGCAGGTGGTCATGAAAAATTGGCAACAATAAAAGGTTTCTAAAAGTGCAACAGCCAAATGTAAATTGAAATTGAACTGCATCATGAATTCGAAGTATTTCTTGTATCCCTTGCCTGAGTTGCATTTAAAAGTATCTGCCAGTGGAAAAAGTTTAAGAAGCCCTGCAATAGAGCACAGAATGTCAATTGTAATCTTTTCTTTTTTCATTCCTTTTAAAAAATATTTTCAGGTTACAAATGCAGTTGCCAACTGTCCTGGACAAATGATTCTTCGCCTGAAACCTTTCCTCGTGTGTGGAGGGGATGGATTTACTCAGTCCAACTTTGATGGCTGCATCACGTCTGCCCTCTGTGTTCTGGAGACTTTTAAGATGCATTTTTAGTTCCTGTATCCTTATTCCCAACATGTACTTGGGTAATTTTTGTTCACAATTTTCTGGTATCAAGTATTTTGTTTTCTGTTTCATTTAGAGAGACTATTAGGAAATTGTTCTTCACTTACTGTCACTTTTCATATAGAGTGTAAAAATCAATGTTATAATTTTGACAGTTACAGCCTATGCGAGAATGAAGGTTCCTTGTACTTTATACCTTTTGTCACTTTTCCGAATCTACCCGACTCCTTGTTGTGGAAAAGGAATGCTTCAGAATAACAAGAACCCTTTCCCCGAGTTATTTCAGACCAGGGAGGCTATTCATGCACTCAAGTCTTTATTATGGGTTTAAAGCTTCAGTTCCAAATAATGAATCCTCGTTACCAAATTTTAAGTCTTACTTTAAAATTTAAAGTATAGGTTGAAATTCAAGGTAGGTTGAATTCAACCTACCTGTAGGTTGGGGTTTTTTGTTATTGTTATTGTTGTTTGATTGCCAAATTACAGTATTTCCCCAAACTGCAAAAGGCAGGCTGTAGTTTTTATTTCTCTCAAGCAATGAAATGATTCTGAGCAGTAGGTCATATGTGGTGTCATCTGGAAAATGGCAATTTGGAGGGCAACTTGACAGATCTCTTTTAAAATTTTCAGAAAGCAACCAATTGCTCTTGACTTTCCAAGTCACACAATACTTCTTATTCCAATCTCAATATGAAAGTTAAATATTATAGAGACAGAAAATATATTGATCTTTACCTTTTAATCTCTCCTCTGGCTGTTACTGTTACCTTTATGTGCTCTCCAGTATGTGCTGTGGCATTTCAAGCCTGTCATTTTAAATAAATTCAATACCAAAAAAAGTTGCTGAACCAGAAAATAGATGCACTTAAAATAGTTCAATATTTGCCAACTTAGTGGCTCAGCATATCACCCATCTGCTTCAGTGACAACCTTGTGACTTGCTGGCAGTAAGAAAAGTGATCCCCAACCTTCCAAACAAGTGACCTGTTGCTAATTTAAAAAAGTAGAATGGTGAGTTCTATTTTATTATTTTTAAAGGGAAAAAGTATTTGCATCTTCTCAAAGAAAGAAAAGTTCAAGAAAAGATTTATTATATTGGTAGTATTTAATGTGCCATACTTTCATACCTACTATCAAACATACAAACACACAAGCATGGGTAGAACTTCTTTATGCCTTTACAAAGTAGGCTTTGTCATCCTACTGAATGTTATTATATATGTGTATACATAGGTATATTTTTCAACACTCACTTGACAGTAAACTGAAATGCTCACAGATGGTTAATCTTCCTTAATTTTTAAAACAGAGAAAGCAAAAGTAAATTAAAGCATTCTATGATATGATTACAAATACTGACTCTATTTCTTGTTTATGTGTGGTGTCAGAGATCTAACCCAGGACCTCACACATGTGAGATACGTTCTCTACCTCTGAGTCCCATGCCTGACCCCAGAATTTGTTTGTTTTTATTTTTTTTGACTCATCTTTGCTTCATATTAATCTCTATGTTGGCTTCCCCCTTAAAATATGGTATAAAATTAAGTCAACAGGGGCTGGATCGATAGCACAGCAGATGGGGCATTTGCCTTGCACGTGGTCGACCCGGGTACAATTCCCAGCATCCCATATGGTCCCCGGAGCACCGCCAGGAGTAATTCCTGAGTGCAGAGCCAGGAGTTACCCCTGTGCATCACCGGGTGTTACCCAAAAAGAAAAAAAAATTAAGTCAACCGTATTGACTTTTGTTTCCATTTAATATAATTTAGGAACTATTTGGCTGAAAAATAACTGATATATAAGGATGATTTCCATATTTATATGTTCAATTTATATCCTTCAAAGAAGGGAGAAAATAATTTATAGAGATGGGGTAAGTTAATTAGAGAAAGTACTCTCCTTAGCTATTAGTGATAGCTTTTAGTATCTATTCAGAATTTTGCTTCTTTTGAGAAGATACAGCAATATGGGAAAAGAACCAATCCTATTTACTCATGTAGATCATTTTACTGGGTTATTTTAATCATTCTGAAATATTTTTATCTTTAGATTCATCTTGGCTAAGAACAGACTAATTCATGTTCTAATAAGGAAATAAAATATATCAAGTGCTTACAAGTTTTATTTTCACTTGCCTCTTCCCCTTTGGAAAAGAAGTGGATATGGGACTATCTTAGTCAGGAAGCAGTCCCATGAAACTCAGATGACCGGGATGCCCCCAGATGCCTCGGGGCCATGATATCAAACTCCCCTGGGAAATAGGGGTCAGCACCATTTAAAACCATTGCCAAGGTGTATGTATGTCAGCCCCAAAGGACCATGCAGCATCACAATATTTCCAAATAAGAACTTTTATTAATCAAGTAAGCCAAGGAGAGCTGCTCTGTTTTGAAAGGAGCATATTCAAGTGAGAAACAACTTGAGCAGTGGGGTGATTTAATACTTGTTAGCTGATAAATATAGCCTTTGCAGGAATAAAACTTTATGATGCAGTGTTGAAAAGCTTAATTACTAAACTGTCTATGCATGTCTTGCTCAGGCAGCAAGGGTGACAAATTATAGCGGTGGAATAGTATTTTTCACCTTTGGCATTTCTGAAGGGGAAAAGTATGTCTAGAAACATCAAGAAAGCACTAATAATCCCAGACCAGATATTACAGAGAGAAAAAAAGAGACAATTTATTGAGTCACCAAGCCTTCTGTGCAAAATGCCATCATCCCCACCCCACGCCTACCCACTACCTAAAGTAAAAAGAACAAGGTCAATTTATTTTATACTCATCCAAGTATACATATATATGCATTTATATGTGTGTATATATATACATGTATATATACATATATATATATGCACCTCCCATTCTCCTAACTCTCTTGTGAAATAAGTAGACAAAGCAATTCTTACTCATTTGACAACTGAGGAAATCAAGGCATAAAGATTGGCCAACTGAGGTCACAAAAGGAGAAGCCAAGACAGGAACCCAGGCCTCCCATGACCCATTTCTATTTACGTGGCACCATGCTGCTGCCAGATGAACATGATAATTAAAGCTGAACTGAAATATGAGTTGGAGGTACAATTAGCACCATGTGGTCTTCTTATTGATGTTTCATTTCAGAGAGCTAGCACTAATCCTAATGTGATATAAACAGGAGTCTAATATGGAATAAAATCTCCATAAGTACTGGCAAAATGATTTATATCCCTGTTATTTTCATTTGCTAGCTTATTTCCTTCTTTGGGGGCACTTGCTGTGAGAGCTGTATTACTGAATCTCAGCCACACTTTCTTGTTTAGCAGAGACTCATGCTCTGTTCCTTCTCTCCATCTGTACTTCTCATTTCTTCATTCCCTTTGTTTGAATATCCTTTCCTGTACTCCAGTATATCTTTCTCCTCTATCATCTCTTTCTCCCTTAATGTATTTTTTCTTTCTCTCTTCTCCTATGTCTAAGTCTCCATTTTCAAAACATGGAATATAAATATGATTTTATTTTTTATGTGATGCTCAGTGATTTGTGTGATTCCTTCTCCACCCCCTCTTTTAAAATTTAAAGCAGTCAATCCTGTTTTTCATCCAAGCTAAATGTGCAATCATTATTTTGATTTTCAAAGGTAACATAGTAATTTAAATTTGGCTATAGGTTTCAGGAATCACAGTGCAAATATTCTTTTAAAATGCATGCAGAGCATAATAGCTGAATCTATAGTGGAAACAATGCAATAGAATCATTAATTTGCACCCAAAGCCCTGATTAAGGAAAGATAAAATCCACATACATGTAAGTGCAAGTTCAGAGAATAAAGATGCTGTAGCTCATGAAATATAAGACTCCAAAAAAAAAAAAAGCAAACAAGAACATGTTTCTGAGAGTGGAAGAGAGAGAGAGAGAGATTACAGATAAAGAGATACATCAGAAAAAAAAAATATCCGGTAAACTATACCCCTCCTGGGCAGACATGACTGAACCTCAGGAATCCAAATGGCATATCAGTGTAGTCAGGTTGAATTCCATATGTGGAGAAGACTTAATGGAAAGTAGAAAAGGAAAATGCCTTAGGAAACCTCACATCAGCTGGTGCAGAATTGAGCTGCTATATTCCTGCCTAGAAAGTATTTATGCCAAACCAATATAATTAGCTAAGGAAGCCAGCATGGTAGAAATGGTATTGTGTCCTGTGTTTTTTCTCAATAAGAGTAATTATAGTCTACCTAAGAATTCAGAGAAGAGTCTATCAAATGAACCTGCTAAGGAGAAAGTGTTAATTTAAAAAGACTTGTAGGATTATAAAATCTTAGAATGCCTCAGCTCAGAGGAACTTGGAGACCATTTGACTAGCTTTTAAACATCTTGAATTTTTTTTATAGTTTTTAGTGCTAGGCATCATGATTTACAATACTGTTAATGGAGGGTTTAGTTCAGATGTTTCAATACCACACCCTTCACCAGAGTGTTCACATCCCCCTACCACTGTCCCGTTGTTCCTACTCCTCACCCCTCTGGTGTGATAATCTCACCTATGTAGACCAGTATTTAGTTTCTGTTGTCTTTGGCCGTTTGTTATTCCCCTACTATGTTTCTGTATATCCCACATATGAGGAGGATTATTCTATATCTGTCCCTTTTGTCTGATTGACTTCACGCAGCATATTTTCTAGATCCATTTATGTGGCAGAATATTGCATAATTTCATCTTTGCTTATGGCCAAGTAGTATTCTACTGCGTATATATAAACCATAGTTTCTTTATCCATTTTGAGTTTTGAATTTATTTGAGAAGGTAAGAAAATCTGTGGATATCTTAACAACCAAAATAACTGTGAATATAGACTTCACTTTAATCACTATATACTTTATGAATATAAACTTTGATAAACTTTAATGAAGAGTTACTTTATTTTCAACATACTTGCTGTCTTTTTAAAAATAAAGTTTTCTTGGAACACAGCCTTGGCCACGTGACTCTTCCTGAGTGTATTGTCTATGACTGTTTCTACAGCAACAAAGAATAAATGAGTATTTGCAACAGAGAATTAATGAAACATGGAAAATGACCGACCTCTGGAAAGGAGAAAAGGAAAATACCTTAGCAAACCTCTAATGTTTAAAATAAAGGATAAGTTACTATCTGGTACTTAAAAAATTACTGATTCCTATTTTAGGGGGTTGCAAACCCTCCAAAGTTTATTTTTAGACACTCTACGGTCTTTGGACACCAGATGAAGAACCTCTAAATCTAGATCCCATCACTTTATGTAAATACAGCTTCTTCTTAAATCCACACATCTGGTCTATTGTTCTTTGATCTTATGCCCCGTTGTAAATCCTTCAAGGCTAATATTACAGCTTTGCAGTTAAGAACACGTCCTTTGGTGTTAAATAGTTCTGTATTTTAATCCAGACTTTACTCCTAATTGTTTGACCTTGAGGCATTTAAACAACCTCACAATCTTCTATAATCTGAAATATGAGCTAATGGTAACTCCCTCAAAAGATTGCTGAGACTCAAGTACACATAAAGTCTTAGCATAGTGCTGGTCACATAGTGTTTAATGAATGATAACAAAGATAATGATGATGCAGAGGAGGGAGAAGGAGGAGGATTAAGAGCATAAGCAGATCCTCCCACTGCCTCTGAGAATCCTATAAAAGTCTACACTTACTTTTGAAAGTTGATGGTAAGAGTTTCTGCATTGATAGAAGTCCATAGTGAACCTCAGAAGATTAAAAGTCCCAGTTTTCTGGGGGCCAGTGGCATAGTTCAGTTGGTAAAAAAAATTCAAGATGTTTAAAAGCTAGTCAAATGGTCTCCAAGTTCCTCTGAGCTGAGGCATTCTAAGATTTTATAATCCTACAAGTCTTTTTAAATTAACACTTTCTCCTTAGCAGGTTCATTTGATAGATTCTTCTCTGAATTTTTAGGTAGACTATAATTACTCTTATTGAGAAAAAACACAGGACACAATACCATTTCTACCATGCTGGCTTCCTTAGCTAATTATGTTGGTTTGCTTGTGACTGACCTGGGCTAAATTCTCAGAACTCCATATAGTTGACCAAGTACCACTAGGAGTGATCCCCGAGCACAGACCCAGGAGTAAACCCTAAGCACCACTGGGTTTGGCCCCAAACTTTCCCCTCAAAAAATTAACTTTCTGGGACATGAGCGATAGCTAAAATACTTGCTTTGTTTGCAGCTCACCCAGCTTGATCCCTGACACCACACAAGGTCCTCTGATCACCATCAGGAGTGATCCTTGAACCCTGCTGATTGTGGTCCACACACAAAAAAAAATTAAAA